AAATTACAGAAGAATTAAATAATTCATCAAATATTTCTATTAAAGAAGACTCACAATCATTTATTAATGAAATTTCAATTATTTCACCGAAAAGTAAGTTTTTAAGAAATTATTTCTAAAAGAATACTTTTCATTTTCTACAAAAAATATAATACAAAGAAAAATAATATTGAAGAAGATAAAGCAATTGAGAGTGTTATTTAGTTATTTAGTCAATAATAAGTATTAATAGGAGTAGAAAACTTAATTTATTTATATGCAAAAAAAAGAACCAGAGAATATAAAATAAAATTTTATTAAAGAAAAATTTTCTTGAAATTTTGAAATTTTGTTAATTATTCTAAAAAAATCAACATTTACTTTTTCATTTTCCAAATCTCATCAATAATACTTTCATGAGTTTGACATCAACTGTTAGAAAGTGTCATTATATACTAATTAATGAATATTGAAAAGAATCCTACAAATTATGATAGTTGAATATCTATATAAGATATATGTAACAGTATTTCTTTATTTAATATAAATATTTAAGAGTTATTTTCAACGATTGAATAAATCGATGATGATTAAAATATTCTTTTCAAATGCAAAAACTATCAATAAGTGAGAGATAGTTGATTTTATGATCTTAAAATCAAATAGAATTTCATTAAATCCCAGAAATTACTAGTTTTATCTATTTATTCAAAGTACAAATTTTCTTAAGTAAATATCAAAGAGATGTTTTCAAACTGTGATATTATAGAAACATTTCATTTAAAAGAGAATTTTTATAACATTCTTCATGATTATTAATTTTGTTAACGAACAAAATTAGTTTCATTTTCTTTATAGCTATTAGTGAAGGAAGATATTTTTTCGAGATTGAAAGAATTTTTTAGCAAAATTAAATCAAATGAATCTATGAAAGAATACATTAAAAACTTTCCTTATTTTATTATGATTATGTATTGATAAATTCAAAAATAGAATTATACCTTAACATTTTATAATAAATAATGAGTAATTTATAGTTGATTTTAATTCATTGAGAATTATGTGATTAGTTTAAAAATCTTTCTTCTCTTTTATTTTGTTTTATTTCGATTTGTTTAAATTTCTTTTATTCATCGTCTTTTACCACTTATTTTCTTTATTCTTTGATGAAAAAAAAGTTTTCTTTTTTTCATCAAAATCTTTTGTTTTCATCATTTTCTAGAATCAAAATTCAATAAATGGAAGCAAAGTGCTATCACTGTGGCTGGTGGAAACGGAGAAGGACAAAAATTAAATCAACTCAATTACCCTTATGGAATCTTTATTGACGGAAAGAAAAATATTTTCATTACTGATTATGCAAATCATCGTATTGTTGAATGGAAATATAATGCAAAAGAAGGACAAATCATTGCAGGTGGAAATAAACAAGGAGATCGAATGAATCAATTGAGTAATCCAACAGATATGATTGTTGATGAACAAAATCATTCGATCATCATTGCTGATTGTAGAAACAGACGATTAGTTCAATGGTTGAATCAAAAGCAACAAATTCTCATTAATAATATTATCTGTTCTGGTTTGACAATGGATAAGAATGGATTTCTTTATGTTTCTGATTTTTGGAAGAATGAAGTAAGACGATGGAGAATGGGAGAATACAACGATGAAGGAATTATTGTGGCAGGCGGAAATGGAAAAGGAGATCAACTCAATCAACTCAATTATCCTACTTTCTTCTTTGTTGATGGAGATCAATCTGTTTATGTATCAGATACATTCAATCATCGTGTGATGAAATGGAGAAAAGATGGAAGAGAAGGAAGAATTGTGGCTGGCGGAAATGGCCAAGGAGCAAATCTCAATCAATTATCTGAGCCTCAAGGAGTAATTGTTGATCATTTGGATCAAATCTATGTGGCAGACTTTTGGAATGATCGAGTAATGCGTTGGTGCGAAGGAAAAGAAGAAGGTGAAATCGTTGTTGGTGGAAATGGAAGAGGATATCAAACAAATCAATTGAATCGTCCCCGTGGTTTATCTTTTGATGATGAAAGAAATTTTTATGTAGTTGATTATGGCAATCAACGAATTCAAAAATTTGAAATAATATTGTGAAAGGAATTTTGATTTTGAACCAAAGAACAGAACTTTTTTCGCTAAATAAAAATTCGAATACATTCGAAGAAAAAGAAATTTTTTGATAAGAAAAAACGACGAAGTGTTTTTGATTGTTTTTTTTTAAGATCGAATTTAATTTGAGAACTTTGATTAACAAATTTTATCAATTTTTAGTTTTATTTTGTTTGATTTTGAAAACATTTGTAGCAAAAATTGAATTGAAAAATTATTTTTTTCAAAATGAAAACAAAATTTTATTTAGAATCTTAAAACAAATTAATGAACATTTTCATTGAGATAACAAATTTGAAAAAAAATGAAAAAAATATTTGGAATAAAGTTCAAAAGCAGTAAAAGTTCCGAAATGACACAAAATTCAAATTAGATTTTAATTTCAAAGATTTTTGATGAAAGAAAAACGTTTTCCATCCGATTTATTGTATCAAACTTCTAAAGAGATCTAAATAAGTATTTGTTTATTTCTACATGAGATTTAATTGAATTCTTTCAAATAAACATTTTCTTCTTTTGAATCTAAAACAAAAAAATTTGAAATATTTTTTATGAATTTTTAATTAGTTTAAGCTGATAACATTTAATAAAAATGATTAAGTTGTATGATGAAATCAAGTTTTCAAATATTATTAAATTAATTTATCAACAGTACGTTCAGCTGTGAAAAAATGTTTTTTGTTGTCAAAAATAAAATGAAAAATATTTCTGTGATTTGAGACTTGTTTGTTTTTTTGATAAATATATTCGTAAAATGTAAGTAAAGTGAGCAGCAGATTCGCGTTTTTCCTGTTGATATTTGGTTAGGAATTTGAAAGAGGTCTCTACGTGTTAAGATGAATCCTAAATTTAAGTCCACTTCAAATGAAACTATCTGAAAAGGAGATATCGACTTAGAATGGGCAATTTCATTTGAAATACTGGGTGTTGATTATTCAAAGATAAATGTCCAAACTGACAACTCATGCACACTTACACCATTTGTACAAAATCTGCGTACAGAGATTATGAAAACGAACATGTAGAAGATCGTGTTTTTTTTAAATACGAAAATGAATGAATAAGAATTGTATGAGATATAAGCTGAGATGATGAATATTCATGTTCAACATATTCTTTAGTTGATGGTTCAGAATTAATATTATTAGATATAAAAAAAACTCTGGTATAATCTTGCTCATATTACTAAATGTATTTATTGTGAAACAAATTGAAAATTTACAGGTTAATTTCATTTTATATCTTGTGATTATATGTATATAAATATCTGAGGAAAAGCTACTAGGTAGAAATAATTTGACGGTCTTATTGTTCATGTGTTTATAGTTTCAATTGACAGATAAATAATTTAAAACGAGTGTGAATTTTCAATAGTTTTTCATAAAATGATAATTCATTCTAGTTTGATTACTTGAGTTTTGTTTTATGATTAACACAATATCATCGTCA